GCCTCAGGTACCCTCCAGTTCCGTTTCTCCCGTTAAATTAACGCGCCACCATACTTCTTGCTTGCTGAACAATCACTTCGATTCGAACCGTGACGAGTTTTGCAGTTTTTCTTCAGGGAATTCTGCAATATCTGCATCAGAATCACTTTGCGACGGGCTCGATCTGGGACCGATTCCAAAACGTCGACACCTGCAAAGAAAACCGAGGACTGAGTTTAGTTTCGCAGTTTTCCACCAGGGAAAATTGTGAATTTGAATTTGAATTGAATGCCTTGAGGCTGGAAGCTAGTTTCGGGAAATCCCCCTAGCTAAAGTACAATGTCCCCTGACATTGCCCTTTAGCTCGGGCGGACCGGTCCTGTTGAGTTAGTTTGGCGGGCGCTTTGCCATTATGGATCCGAAAACGAAACCATAAGGGGAACCCACCTCCGAAACTAACTCAACACGACCGGGCGGCCCGAGCTAAAACCCAATGTCCCTGGACATTGGGCTTTAGCAAGGGGTCTCAGTTTCAACTAAGCCGTCCCAAACTAACTCGGGCCGACAGTCGGGGGCCGGTCTGGCCCGCCGGGAAAAACAAACCAGCTCAGGGCACGGAACCATGATTGTTTTAACAGTTTTCATTGGTCCAAAATTGTTAAAACAGGTTCGGTTCTCGCCAGCACGGGCAGGAGAATGCAGGGTGTGAGGCACAAGCCCCCCAAACACAACAGACAGACAGACCGCTTTGTCTTGACAAGTCCAGTTTGATTCAGCAGTTTTCCAGTCCATGCGTCACAATTGCGAAAACCAGCTCGTCAGGCAACTTCCGCCAGAAGCAGACCGTTGGTCATCGTGAGGCCTTTCGAAGAGTCCCGTCCAATGATTTGCTTCTGTGAGAGTGGCAGATGTGCCAGGCCGAAGCCAAACTTGTGCCGTGCGGAGCTCGGCCCCAGACTTTGAATATTTGAAACGTGGCATCTTCCGACTCTGTCATGAAAGCTGCCTCCGCACATGTTTGCTCGAGCCCGTCGGTCAGAGTATAGTGTGGCCTGGACCGGAATCATGACGAAAGCCAAAGCTGCTCAGGAACCTGCTCCAGCCGCACAGGCGAAAGCAGCCGCGCCGTCGCCCGCCGCGACGGCCAGCAAGCCCGATGCGGGCCTGTCACAGGCGAAAGCAGCCGCGCCCAGCAAGCCCGCTGCGACCTCGTCCGACGACGAATGTCTGCGTCAGATGAAGCGGTGGCGGCCCAACGAGGACCAGCAAGCGTTGCAGCAGGACGCGAAGAGGACACCAAGCAAATGCACGTCATGCTTGCTGTGGGTCTCTCCAAAATATTTAGACTGACCCCGATTTCATTCCCCTGGAGGATGCTTCGCTGCTCTGTGGATGAGCTGGTGGAGGCGATACACCCGTGGACACCAGGCGTCATTCGCACGAGGCTGCGCGAGATTTTGTCGAAGTACGCAGGGGCGCCGCAGGCCCGAGGATTGCTGAGTTTGCTTCAGTGAGTCGTGCTGGCTTGAGTTGTCTGACAGACGCTGCGTGTTGTGATGGTTCAAACCGGTGTCGCTCAGCCCGACACGGGAAGCGAATCCTGATGTCAAGGAGTTCGAGGGGTTGCTCGGGTTTGTTTTTGGGCTGGCCGTCATGAATACGTAGAAATATTAGTGACATGAAGTTGAGGATGTTTGTCAGAAGTCTGGCAGCAGCTAGTAAGAATTCAATAATACTTATGATAGAATAGGGTCTCATGGACGAGATCGAAGAGCCCGGCCCACCGCGCAGCAAGCGGGCCGAGGCTAGATCCAAAGGCCGGACAGTCCGAAAGAGCCACCTGCAGAACGACATTGCCACTGCTGTGCAGCTTCGATACAATGCGCCGCAAATGAGCGACTGGCAGACTCATGCCGGCGAGTGCACGAGCGCCACTTGCCAGAAGTTCGGGCGGTGTGCCTTCCATCGCCTGCATGGAAGGTGGCTGAAGCGCCTAAGCAGTCCTTCTGGTCACGTATGGCTGTCCGTCCGACCGAGGGCCTGGGGGGGGGAGCCTAGGTCTGCCTTCAGAATTGTTGTTCTTGCTGCTTGGGACTTTTTTTTGTTTTTTGCCATTGTTCCCAGACAACATCTCCCAAGGCTTGGGCCCTGGGGTGCCTCTTCTGCGCCCGAGCTGCGAAGGAGGGTCTGGTCAGCTCGACGCGGTGGTCGAGGTTCGAGGTGGAGAGCACGCTGCAGTTTTCGAACATCGTTCAGCATGCTGCAGGCGCTGCAAGGGATTAAAAATAATAAGGGTTGAGTTGGCGAGTAGTCTTTTCGTGGCAGGTTGCTGACAGCTGTTAGCCCAAGTGGAAGCTTCCAGCCAGGCGCTCAACATCAACTTGCCAGCAAGCCCTATGCTCTGCCAGATGCCTGCGTGCAGTTGGGCCCGGAGACTCCAGCGAGTGATTCGGGCATCTACTTGGAGGAAAAGAATCCGGCCCTTGCTCCGAACGTCAAGGCCACCGTTACTCAGCCCGACGACAAGCCCGATGCGATGCGTCATGAACCCCAGGACCGAAAGCCACATGGCCGGAGGAAGCAGCGCAGGACCGACAAGAATACCGGGCAATCTGACTGGCCCCCTGCCTTGCCCGAAAGCTTGTGGATGAAGGTTTTTGATAGTGTCAAGGCTGCAGACTCCGCCAAAGCTTCCGCGCTGGACGTTCCCGGCTTGTCGTCTCACAAGGTGCAGCAGATGGTGTGGTGCTTGGCCGAAGCCAGACGCGAGCAGGAGCGACTGTTTCTTTCCAAGAACGCGGGCCACCTGTCCATCGGTTTGATGCACGACGGCCGTGGGCGTCATGTGGCAGTCCGATACCGTGCCGTGAACGACCAGCTCGAAGACCGATGTGGACTCCTGGCCCTCACGTCCTGCCCCGGAGGCGCCAAGGAGCTGGCCGACGGCATCCGCAAGGCAATAGACATCTTTTTTACTCGCGGAGCGGGCGCCTTGAACGATGTCCGAGGCGTTAAGGACGAGGCCAGCGCGTTTCAGTTCTCTCGCAGTGTGCAGGCGCAGTGCGCAGATGGTGCGGCCTACGCTCAACTGGCATGCCGCGAGCTGGACACGGTGTTCCCGGGTCTGATTGCCATTGTGCGAGACCGGGGACACGCCGTCATCAACACGATGAAGCATGCGACTGAGGCCGACGAGGTGCTCCGAGCGTTCAAAGAGAAGTTCGTGAGTGGGCCGATGTCCGTTGCCAAGGAGCTGACACATTGCCAGGCTTTCAGAACGTCCTTCGAATTGGCCCGAAAAGCTCAGGAAGAGACCGAGAAGAGGCCGGACCGAAAGATGCCTCTGATGCTGTCTTTGCAGCAGCTTGTTCGCGCGCCATCACTTTTCGAGTACTAATCAAACCCTACGTCCGAACAGTAAGAACTTACACCGAAGCCTTGATTCAACTAAGGTATGGGAAGGCGCGGTTCTCCAGCCAAGTTGCTCCAGAACGACGGTTGCTTCTTCAGCTACTTGCGTTGATGGTGGCGCTGAGGAAAAGACAGACCTCCGGGAAAACCCCAGCGCTGCGAGACTGGGCAACCGACAAGCTGCAGATGCTCAACTTCAAGACGGTGGCAGCCACAGCAGCTGTGTGTGACGGGGAGGAACTTGTTCTGGATTTTACCCGGAGTATAGAGGCCGAAGGCACTGATCCCTCGACATTGGCGTCTCTGGTCGAAGAATTTCTGCAGATGCTGGCGACTCTTTTTGAAGAAGGCAACATCTGGCGGGCCGACAACAAGCATACATGGACGCAGGTTGTCATCGACCAGATGAAAGAGGCCCGCAAGGAGTTCATGCCGGAGGGTTTGCAAGATGCGATTCGGGACTGTCACGCCAGGGTTGCAGCATGGGCGCCCAGCCTCCAACAGATTTGTTTTTTTTCGGTAGACTTTGAACGAGTTTTCAGGGAGTTTGAAGCGCAGTGTGTTTGGTTTCTGAACTGTGAGTGAGGCCAAGACCGTACGCTCCGGCGTCCTCAGCGAGTTTCCGTCACAGGAGATCATGCTGCAGATGGAGGGCCTGAACATCGGGCAGTGGGCTGCGCTGCAGAAGTTTGGCAAGACCCCAGCAGATAAAGCCGCCCGAAGTGCCAGGGTACAGTCGCTCGAAGGAAAGATTCGCAGACTGGCGGTCGTTTTGAGGGTTGGCGAGGACGATGCCCTCAAGCAATTCCTGGAGCTGAAGGACCGGTCCTTAATTTAAAGTCACGAACCCTTCAGATTTCAGAGTACCACATGGGATGTTGAAAGAGCTTCTGCCCAGGACTCACTCGTCTACACGTGGCGAAAGTTAGGCGACAACTTGGAAAGTTGGCGGTCTGTCCTGGAACGATGCCAGAAAAGCCGACGGAATCGCCCTGTGACCGCTTTGCAACACGTCTAACTGCATTATTGGGTTTTAGGGTTAGGGTTTAAATGGACTTTAGGGTGGTTGCCCGATGTAGTATTTAATTCATAATAAACCCCAGTGGCCATGCTTGTCTCAGGATCCCTTTGGTCCGGTTTCAGGCGGCTGCAGTGAATTCCACGCAAGGCGTGGAGTCGCAATTCAGCGAGCTAGAACGACAAGACGCGTCGCGGGTGTCTCAGCAGTCTATCTGGCGCCTGCGCAGCTCGGCACGAGAACAGCGCGAACACGTGTTTCTTTTTGATTCTGTCTGGTTGTAATTGTAACTTCGCCTCAGCCCTATATTGCGCCCTGCGCTGACGGCTGTGCAGGAGACAGATTGCAGGTGTCCGAGATCTCGGACGTGGCCGCTGCCCGACCGCTCTTTCGTCAAGCCGCGGGCTTGTACGTGGAGTTTTTTGGCAAGCCCCGTGGTGCGTACGGCTCGGAGCTTGGGACCTTAGCCCGAGGAGTCGCCAAGAAGCGAAAGGCAGACCGGGGCCAGACCGAAGCCAGCCTCCGCAAAAAGCAGCGTGCAGCTTTGGATAGGCTTGCTGCCGAGTCCGACAGGCCTTCCAGATCGAAGACCATGTTCGGCACGTCCATGCCTGGTCCGGCAGATGTGGCATCCGTGTGGACCGAAAGGCATGAAGATTTGAAGCAAGCTTTTGCGGAGAAGCGTGAGCATAAGATTGCGGAGGCGAGGGAAACCCGCAGGCAAGGCCTGCGGGGAAGCACGACGGCGCCCCTGAAGACCTTCACGAAGAAGTGTGCCACTGCCCGAGAGCAACGCCTCCACGACGAGATGGCCAAGCATGCTGCCCGAGGTCCTGCCCGACGATTTGACAAGGCGACGTGCTACATCGGTGCCAAAGGCATATCCGAGATGCCTGGCCAGCGTCGGACCGATGATTTGCACAAGGCCGACATCATCGTCACGGGCAAGAAGCTGGAGAAGCCCGACTGGCGAGCGGCTCACGCCATGCTCATGGGCAAGATCGTCGCAGAGGGCACGGACTTGACAAAGTCCAGGCACGTCGCTTGGCGACCCCGTCCGGAGACCGTGGTGAAGCAGCATTTTGGCAGCAGCGGTACGAGTTTGTACTTTTATTAGAATTTGTACTTGTTAATAATATTGTTTCTTGCGAGTTGTATCGGATTCTGACTGAGCAACCAAAGCTTGCCTGATAGGTCCTTGTACCTGACGGAGCCCTTCGTGAAGAAGTTTCGCAGTTTGGCTGCACTTCTGGCCGAGGTTGCTGGCCGACCGGACTGGAAATGGAAAGTGACCAAGTCCTATCCGCCGCCGAAAGGCTCCAAGCTGATCACGCCGGATAATGTTTGGGATTGGCTGTACAAGAATTGCCAGATAGAAGAGCCAGCGAGGCCGTAATTGCTGCATTGTATAGTTTGCAGTGTAGAACGATACTCGTCCAACGCAGCACAGTCCGGATTCCGGAACCCGGAACGACTGAAGACTAGTTACGTAATTTAGGAGTCAAGCACTCGTGGTGTATGTGTGCCCAGTCTGTGCAAGCTGTCGGACGAGTCCCTTTGTGCAGAAAAGTTTGAGACAGATAGAGGGGCGCGCCACGGGGTCACGGCAGACAGAAAAGATCGGAGGGTTGCATTGGACAAGAGGCCTGCGCTGTGTTTGTGGAACCTCAGATGATAAAATTGTGTAAATCCCCGACAGGACTTGACGAGGCCGGGCCAAGCCGGCAACGCATCGATTGCGCCGGTGCTGCCTAATCAGTTCGCGTCCATTGCATCGTCCGACAAGGGCCAGCTCATGGCCGGCGGGCTGCTTGTTCCAAAGTAAGTTTTCAAGCATGTATTAAAACAACAATACTTCATCCGTGTCAGCAAGTCTGAGTGACATTTCTTAGGAGCCTGTTCTGGTTGTCATTCTCCACAGCGGCGACATCCTTAAATTGGGAGGCTGTGAGGACCGTTTCCAAGTCCCAGATCGTAGCCGACGCGTCCCTGGCCAGCGCGGAGATTGGTGTCGTGGTTGCCGATACCTCCCTGAACACTTACCCGGACGAAGAGGAAATCCGCATCATTTGGGGAGAGGAGATGGCTCTGGGCATCATGGTCGGCGTCCTCCGACAGTACGAAGACGCAGTCAAAAGTAGCCTGGGTCCGAAGGAGCTGTCCACGCAGATGAAGACCTGGGTGAGGCAGGTGTCCTGCTGCCCGATGAAATGGCACGCAGCCCGTTCGGAATCCGGAGCATTGCTGGCAGGCTGCGATTGATGCCCGCAGTTTGTTTTGAGAGTGCCTAGCCATTGATTGACCCCCAAGCCCTGTTGAACGAGTCGGGGCTCACGCCTGTGTGGCATCGACCTTTTTTTTTGACTGCGCAGGCTTCAAGATGGACGAAGCGGTCAAGTCAAAGAGTGTGTGCAGACTGACTTTCAGCCAGATTGCCGCGCGTGTTACCTACACGAAGAAAGTCTTGGAGAAGGAAGGCAAGCTGAAGGCCGGCAAGGAGGCCCTGTACAACTGGTTTCAGCAGGTGACAAGTTCCGGGACCGAGGCGCCGCAACCCTTTCAGTAGTCAACCCGGCCGGCATGTGCATAGCAACCTTAAGAATTCGGTCATCTCTTGCAGCGTCAGGCACCTTATTCCCAGAGCGCCATCCAGTTCATGGACAATTTCGGGGAGGAGTTCCTCTGCTCGGAGGACTTGATGTATGAGTTTCGGGCACTGGAAGGTCTATGCGTGGGCTATGACGGTCCGATCACAGGCTGGAGCAAAGTGGAGAAGATTGTGTCGTCTGTCAAATGCCATTTGAAGAAGCGCTCGATCGTGTCCACCCTGGAAGGCGGGCCGCAGAGTGCACATTGGAAACCAGTGTCTGTTAAGTGTCTCTCTAGGGTTTAGGGTTTCGGGTTTAGTCTAAGTTAGGGTATTACTTTATTAACTTAGGGTTACTTAGGGTTAGTTAGGGTTTAGGGTTTAGGGTTGAGGGTTTAGGGTTTAGGGTTTAGGGTTTATGGGTTAAGTGCAATGTGTGTCTGTGTGTGTGTGTATGTGTGTGTGTGTGGGTGTCTGTGTGCGCGCGTGTCCGTGTGGGTGTGTGGCGTGTCTGTGTCTGTGTGTGGCGTGCGTGCGTGTCGTGTGCGTGCGCGTGCGCGTGCGCGTGTGCACGGGCACGCGTGCGTGCGTGGGTGCGTGCGTGCGTGCGTGCGTGCGTGGGTGTTTGCACGTGGGTGTGTGTTTATATGTTTGTGTCTGTGTTTGTGTCTGTGTCTGTGTGTGTCTCTGCGTCTGTGTGTGTGTGTGTGTGTGTCTGTGTGTCTGTGTGTCTGTGTGTCTGTGTGTCTGTGTGTCTGTGTGTCTGTGTGTCTGTGTGTCTGTGTGTCTGTGTGTCTGTGTGTCTGTGTGTCTGTGTGCGTGTGCGTGCATGCGTGTGCGTGCGCGTGTGCGTGCGCGTGCGTAGGCACGGGTGAGCGTGCGCGTGCGCGTGTGCGTGCGCGTGCGTGGGCACGTGTGAGCGTAGTGCGTGTGCGTGTAGTGCGTGTGCGTGTGCATGTGCGTGTGCCAGCGTGTGCGTGTGCGTGTGCGTGTGCGTGTGCGTGTGCGTGTGCCAGCGTGTGCGTGTGCG